CCCACCCCCAGCAGAGTCACCCCCTCCCCACTCCTGCTATTGACATCTCCCTGCGAAACACTTGTAATAAAATCATCTCCATTAGCTGTACCCAAAAACCACTTTGCTGAGCCAGGCAGGAGCTCACTGAAGCGGCTTTTCTTCCCCCGGGGGAGTGGGTGCTGGGATGACTCCCATTTTGCAGAGAAGGAAAAGCCAAGCTATTTGGCCAAGGTCACTGTGCTCACATGGATCTTGACACCTCAAGGGCAAGGACTGATTCATCTTCGTGTGTCACCCCCACTCCCTCCCCCCCCCCAACACACAACCTACCAGCCTAAACTGCCTGTGGTTCCTTCATCCACACCCTGGTCTCACTTCCCCCACCCAACACAGGGAGCACACAGGATCTGAACTCCCCTGGGCTCCCACAGTCCCCTGGGGATGCTCCGGTAACACCCTTAGCACAATGCATCCTGCAGCAGAGTTCCGTTTGTAGGTGTCTGACTTTCTCAGAATCTGAGCTCATCCGGGTGGAGGGTGGCAGAAGTGGGAGTTTGGGAGGCAGGAAATCTGAATTCCTGCTTCGCTTCTATCACTAACACAATTAGCTGTGATCACAGAATAATGGCCCGCATCTATTTTGGTCATCACTTCGAACCCATTATTGATTGTGAAAATTAATCAAGGGAAACCACTAAAATGATGTTGGGAGGCCAGAAGGGGGAGCTCTAACACAGTGCCGCTCTATGTCAATGGAAGCTGTGTCCATTACAAACACCCACACTGGAAAGAATCATCAGTTATAGACCCCAACTGGAAAAGGCGTGCATTGAAATTGACAGTGCCAGCAACTCCTCCAGTGAGGAACCATCATCTTTGTGAATGCTTACTTTTCTCCAGTGGACTTTCATTCAAAACACCCCCTCCCAACTTCCTCCTTTTTCTTCATAAAATAACATTCCTCTCCTTTGCTTGTTGGACTTGCCTGCGGCTTTAGCTGTAGCTTGCGTGTCCTGAATTGCAATTCTTTGCTACTCCCCAATAAATCCATTTTCAATTTTTGCTGGTAAAATAACTTTTATTAAGGTCAACGGGACTTTGGTACCCTACATAGTAGGTGTTCACTGGGAAATGCTAGGAGTTGCTATCATTTATGTGGGCCTACTGTGTGCCAAGCACTATACTTATGTGTGATTTACATCGGTGGCCTCAATGGGACTTGGTTACAGTGACAAACCACAAACATCTTTCCATAGCCTTCGAGGACCTACAACAGTGGTCCCTAACCGCCCCCACCCCCAGCCTCAAGCCTCAGACTGGTACCTGTCTATGGACTGTTAGGAACCAGGCTGCACAGCAGGAGGTGAGCTGCGGGTGAGCAAAGCTTCGCTGGTATTGGCAGCTGCTCCCCAGCGCCAGCATCACCGCCTCAGCTCCCCTTCAGATCATTGGGTGTTAGATCTTCATAGGAGCACCAGTCCCTGGTGCCAAACATGTTGGGGAGCGCTGTGCAAACTCTGGTGGGTCCGTTACCTTCCCGACCTCACCTACCTCCCGCCCTCCTCTCCCTCTGCAGCTCCATCCTCACCAGTCTTCTCGTTGCCCCGAGAACATGCCAAACTCATACCTACCTCCGGACCTTTGCACTTCCTGTTTCCTCCGCCTGGAAGCTTCTCCCTTTTCCAACTCCATGAGCGATTGCTTCTTTCTTATGATTCACATCTCAATTCATGTGTCACTCAGAGAGATCTTCCCTGGCTCCACTTTCCCTAAATGAACCTCAACCTCCTGCCCTCGATCAGATCATTTTGTCTTATCTCTGTAATACCAGGGTCTGAAATTATCTTACCAGCTCCACGCCTGTTTCTTCATCTGTAAAATGGTGATGGAAATAGGGCTTGTGGTGAAGATCAATGACCGCTTCACATGCAGTAGGTGCTCAATAAATGTTAGCTATTATTATACATCCTCAACAAACTGGAGTTGACTTGGTTAATACCGAAACTCCAGGACCTAGGACAGAGTAGGCACTCGGTAAACATTTTTAAATGAATGAAACAGGTAGGCAGATAGGACCCCCCACACACACACACACCTCCCACACGTGGAAACGGACAGAGTCCCAAACAGAAAGTAGTGGAGTCGGTATTCAAACCCGGATCATTCTGTTTCCAACGTCCTGTGCTTTTAAGGTCTGCCTGTGTGTCCAAAGGCAAATCTCTCCCTACTGTGGGCTTGTTTCCTCTAACTATAAAACATGGTCTGGGTCATGTCTAGGTGCTGACCCTCACTGCGGACTTGGGGAAGGTGCTCCACTATTCTTTACATCCATTGTCAAGTTTTTTACCCTCCCATCTTCCCCCAACATTGGAGCCAGCTCCGACTGACACTGCCAGCCGGCCAGGCGTCACAGCTGGACCTGTGTCAAAACCGGGACTGGATAATGAAGTCGTGGGAGATGAAGGACGTCGAGGAGGAACTAAAGAGAAGGTAAAGAGAAAGGTTAGGGAGGAACAACAAACTTAGTGGAGGGGTCTAAACTCTGGGGCGGAGCTAACCCTATAAGAAGGCCGGGTTAAGGGCTCTGGGATAAGTCCTGTAGCCCTTGGACGCTTAGGGAGCGGTGCCAAAGGCTCTGGGGGTGGGAATAGAACGTTAGTTCCCGCCGGATTCTGTGGATGGAGCTAAGACCCCTGGGGGCGGGTCTAGATCTAATAAACAAGGGCTCTAAGAACTGGGCTAGGGAGGAGCTAGTGGATATCTGAGCGAATTTAAGACTCTAGGGTCGAGTTCTAGTCTTGCAAGGGGCTTTTGGGAAATCCAGTGAAAGGTTAGGGAGAAGGTTTTGAGGATATGGGAGTGTCTTCCTCCACCCCATCTTCCTCTCGGAGTCGGGGGTTATGCTTCAGGCTGAAAAGCTGGGAAGGCCCTGCCCCTTCCAATCCTTCTGTGTCCCTATTGGCGGAGGGGCCTGCGCGACAGGCTCTCATTGGTCCTGAACACGCAAGGTAGGGGTCTAGAGAGCGTACGCACCGGTTGTGGGCGGGACCAGACGGTACCGAGGGGGATCTCGGCGTAACCAATCTGGGCCCGAGGATTGTGTTGGGGAGCCTGGCAGGGGGTGTCCTGACCCCCCTTTCTAAGCATCCTGGGGGATGATCCCAGTGCCAGGCCCGGCGCCGGCCGCCTGATGCCGGGCGGGCGGAGCCGGGGATGCTGGAACGAAGGGCGTTGCTATGGCAACGGGAGGCAAGGCCTGGGGAGGGGACCGGGCCCGAGCTGGGGCCGGGGGGGCCGGCGGTGGCTGTGGCGGGGCGATGGCGGAGCGCGGCCCGGCCTTCTGCGGCCTCTACGACACGTCTTCCCTGCTTCAATACTGCAACGGTGAGACCCCTCCTCACTTCCGACCTTGGCCCCGCCCAGGGCTGGACCCATCTCCTCCTGCCCCAACCTCCAGCTTTCAAGTCCCCATTCTCGCCCCCGGCTGAAGATTGCCCGTTCCCCCCGCCCCCCAGCAGGACCCTGACCCCAGAGCAAGGTCCCTGATCCCCAAAGCTCGGATCCCAGTCTCCCACCCCAGAATGGAGAGAAGGGGGAAGAACCTTCAGGAGCTTGGGTTTGAAGGGTTGAAGGCCTGGAGATCTGGGACTGTCTTCCCTATCTCCTCTCAATCCTCTGGGACCCTCCCCCTTCTTCCTGGCAGAGGAAAAGACGTTCAGGGGAGGGTGGGATTTGGTGTTGGCTGGTGGGCTGTCTGTAGGACTGAGGAGGACCACCAGAGGACTTTGCCTCCACTCTACCCCCAAATCCTTCGGCCCCACCCCTCCCACCCATTAGGACTCATTCCTTCTCCCTAGACAAATGGTTATGGTATCAGAAGGGCCATTGTAGGTGTCAGGCCCAGATGAGGGGAGCTGGAGGCAGAGAGGAGACACGGGAGGAGACGTGGGAAGTGGGGGGCTGGTCTCCAGGTCAATGGACTGAGGGTGGGGGAATAGTCTGGAGGGATCAGAGGACTTGAATCGTGGGGGGCAAGGCAGGCTAAGGCCTCAGAATGCATCCTGCCTCTCTGGGTGGGGGGTCGAAGGGCCAAGGTGAAAGCTTCTCTATTTCACTCAGGGGGCCCTTCTGAGAAGGGACTCTTTTCCAGTTTGGAGGCTCACTCCCCTGGACATACCCCCCAGTGCCAGAGACCACTGGAGTTGGCAGAGGACTAGGATGCTCGCTCATTTTGTCCTCTGCCCGTCTAAGAGGCAGGGTGATGGGGTGCCTAAGCCTGAGTCCAGTGTCTGTTTTGCTGCTGAAAGGCTGTGTGTCGTGTACAAGTAACTTCACCTCTCTGGGCCTCAGTCACCTTCCTCCCGAAGCCGGTATCATGGTACAACTACTGAGTTGCTAGGAGCGTTAGGTGCCATGATAACAGTTGATTGTATTCTGGATTTACTGAGTACATACCATGAGCAGAGAAATGTGCTCTTTTTTGCACGAACAGTGTTTGCCGCATGTAAGTTCACCAGATCTCATTTTTTTGGTAGTATTGTTAGCAGTAGGTAAGAGGGAGTTCGGCACAACGAGGTGATTGCGCCCTCCTGCCCCTCACTTATCGGCTTTGTGACCTTTGGCGAGTCTGCACACTCCCTCAGCCTCCGTCCTTAGTTTCCCTCCTTGGCACGCTTGGTGCCAATGGGACCCTGAGGTTCCCTTCTCTTGAGTTGCAAGTCCAGACAGCTATCTCCCCCTCCGACCTTGGGAGGCCCCCACTTACCTCTGCAGGTCCTGGCCCCGGACCAGAGAGGCTGTGGGTGGGGGCGGGGGGAAGGGCGGGCAAAGCCCGGCAGGCGATTGGGCAGGGGGGAGGGCGGGGAGGGACCGAAGGCTGCACTGCGGAGCCCAGCGGACAGGCGGGGCAGCCTGGGGCTGTGGGATGGCAGGTGCGACCTCCACGCACCGTCCCTGTCAGTGTTACCACATTTACGTCCGCCCGGCTGGGAGCTGGGGTTTCTTCGGTTGTTGCCAGCAATGAGTCTGGGTGTGAGTAATCTGGGAGGAAGGGGAGAAGGGGACCACCTCGGTCTTCCGCCCCTCCCATTTCGGGAAAATGGGCGGGGGGAGGTGGGGAGTGGAGAAGTTATTTGCCTGCACCCTTGGGTTGGAGAAGAGAGGGAGAGCGGAATCTGGGGCATGGGGTACACAGCGAAATAAAGAAGGGGAACAGAGGAGAGACGCTCCGGCTGGAGAAGAGAGTTTGGATGTCAGGTCTCCCTCGCGTGGGTCTCTTGGGTCTGCGATACGCTGCCTGCAATTCCCAATTCTGCCGCCAGGGGCCGCAGAAACTCTGTCCTTGCTGCGGGTTTGGGGTCGAATCCCCTGGTGGGGAGAGATTGGAAAGGGGAGGTACCAGGAACGACCTTTTAGTTTGGAAAGTCTTAGAAACAGAGAGGGAACATTAGTATTCGCGATAAAATGTTGATATTCGTCACAGAATACTGGGGACCAATTCTAGAACGTTGGTGTCAGTAGGAATAAGTCGATGTCATCTTGACAATGTTGATGTCACTCATAAATATTTAGCATCTTAGTCATAGAGCCTTAAAACCAGAGTCGAGAGGCTCTTGATTCGTAGACTCTTAGAAAGTAAGAGAGGAAGGGACTTCCCTAAGGTCACACCTCTAGGGCGCAGCGGCAGAGAGGAGTGTGGGGGCAAGGGCTGAGAGCTGAGGGGATTTCCATACCCTTTGGAAGCCCTCTTCTCGGCCCATCGCCAAGCTACCCAGCCCCAGGTTGCGCGAGAGGAAGAGGGCGTGGCTGGCCCCGCTTAGTCCTGGGAAGGCCGTAGGGACACCTCGGGCGTTGGAGTTCCTGGGTGGCCCCCCGCAGCCAGCCCTCCCCTGCCTTCCAGATGACAATTTGTCAGGCACGAGCGGCATGGAGGTGGACGACCGCGTGTCGGCGCTGGAGCAGCGGCTGCAGCTGCAGGAAGACGAGCTGGCGGTCCTAAAGGCGGCGCTGGCTGACGCGCTGCGTCGCCTACGGGCATGCGAAGAGCAGGGCGCTGCACTGCGCGCGCGGGGCACCCCCAAGGGCCGGGCGCCTCCGCGCCTAGGCACCACAGCCTCGGGTACCTATCTTCGCTAGACTGGAGAGGTGAGATGGAGAGGGGACCGGTGCTCGGATCTCGCACTCACCCGCTTCTGTCCTCTTCACTTCATCCTTCTAGTGTGTCAGCTCTTGAAAGGCCTTCCCACCAGGACGCCCCTCAATGGCTCAGTACCCCCGCGGCGCGTGGGCGGCTATGCCACGTCCCCTTCCTCCCCCAAGAAGGAGGCGACTTCCGGGCGCAGGTAAGGCACGAAAGCCGGGATCCCAGCCTCCTTCAAGACCTTGTGGGAGACCGAGTTTATACGGAAAGGGATGGACTCAGGTGCCTGAACTCCAGCAGTGGAAGGTGCGGGCAGGTTCTCGCCCGCACCCGCACTCGCCTGCTGGCCTCGCAGGCTCCAGCCCTAGCTGTGTGCTCTCTCTTTGCAGTGCCCGCCGCTACTTGTCACCGGAGCGCCTCGCCTCGGTGCGTCGCGAGGACCCCCGCAGCCGCACCACATCCTCTAGCAGCAATTGTAGCGCCAAAAAGGAAGGGTAAGTGTCCGAGGCGGAGCCATGTCACAGATGGTGGGGCCAGAACCCCAAATAGGCATCGTAAAGGTTGAGGAATTTAGGGCGATACCCCAGGCCATGAGGTGATAACCTAGAGCGGGGTCATCTAGTTTTAGGATGCGGGAACAGTGCCGGAGAATTGGAGGGACCAATCTTTGGATAGTGTGGTCGAAGGGAAGGGCCTGGAAAGGGGGAGCCAACCCTGAGGGGCGTAGTCAAAGCGTTAAGGGGACAGACCAGAACATAAAAGGTCAGGGCCTCCTGGATGAGCCAGAGTAGAGGTCCCAGAGGAGCCAAGATTGTGGGCGTGGCTATTAAGGTAAACTCTGTCCTTAGAGAGTAGAGAGTCCCCACTGAATCTCAGGGGTGCTGCCAGGGCAGAAGCCTCAGAGAAGTTTTTGCAGGGAATGGAGGGGAGTCAGAGGGAGGGGCGTGATTTGAATTTGAGAGCGTGGCCAGAAGGGTTAACCTGGTCTGATGAGAACCTGGGCTGGGGGGTCACTGGGGCTTCGACTGGGTGGGGGCGTGTCAGATGCAAGGAGTGGGGCGGAGCGGAGCCTGGGTCTCTGCCAGGCGGAGATTGGGCGGGGCCGCAGGTGGGCGTGGTCAAGTCTCAGGAGGCTGAGCCAACCTGGAGGCTTGAAGGGACTCAACTCAGAGATTGGGTCGCGTGAAAGTGGTCGTTGTCCGAATGCCTGGCGGGACCAGGGGCAGGGAAGAGGGCTCAGGGGGTGCGATCAATTATCAAGAGACGAGTCAACTCAGGGGAGAGGTGGGTGTGATCAGAACGCTGGGAGTTATCAACTTCGTGGAGTCAGGGCCTTACCGAATGATGGGCGGAGTCATGGTGCAGTGGGCGTGGTCGGATCCTGGGGGCCGGCCCAAGGCAGAACCCCGGTCGAAACCCATACATTTCAACCCCACTCAAATAATAGCAAACACCTACATAGCGCTGTGCCAGGTACTACTCCAGGCACAGCGATGTGACCAATTTAACCCTCGCAACCACCCCGGGAGGGAGATACTCTTATTATCCTTGTTTTAAGAACGAGGAAACTAAGGCAGAGGTTAGGCGACTTGCCCACCTTCTAGGAAATGGCAGAGCTGGGATTTGAACTCAGGCAGACACACCCCTGAGTCCAAGTTCTCAAACGACATTCTCCCTTACCCTCAAAAAAGAGCCTGGTATCAGGACCCCGCAGCCCGGGACCTGAGACCCAGTGTGACCCTCCGGCTCTCGGGGTCAGTCGCGCAGGGCGGGGCAGGGCGCGGCGGCGCGGGCGCCTCCCAGGGCCGGAAGCGGCGGGGCCGGTCCCGGCTCCACCCCCGGTCCCGAAGCTCCACCAGCCGCCGCCATGAGTAGCTTTGGAGCTGGGTGAGACCCTCTCACAGACCCCCCTCGTCCCCGCGCTCGCGCAGCCTGGACTCCAGGTCTCCGCCTTCGCCAGAGACCCAGGCCCGCGAGCCTCACCCCTTTCCCCCCGCAGAGGGAACGTGGAGACACGCCCCTTTCCTTAAACCTTCACTGCTTCCCTTGGTGCTTGCAGTTCGGGGCGCTGTGGGAGTGGGGGTGGGGAGCGGTGGGAAAGCCGCGCTGGTTAGGAGGGAGGGGGTCTCTGCTGACTCCCCTCTTCCAGGATCGCGCCCCTGCCGCTTCGTCTGTGTGATCTTTGGCGATCGCTGCCTCTCTGGGCCTGTGTCTTAGGCTCTGCAAGATGAACCGAGCAAAGCACACGGCCTGCAGAGAGGCGGCGCTCCGCACTTTCGCGGCCCCCATGGTGCATCCGACCTCCCGGGAGCGGTGGGGCGGTGGAGTGCTGACTCCCCTTTTCTGACCTGCCTGCTGATGAGGGTGTCTTTTGTTTTGTTTTATTGTGTTTGTCCTGTCCTGACAGCAAAACCAAAGAAGTTATCTTCAGCATGGGTAAGTGGGGCGGGCGGGAGGGCCTCGACTGGGGGCTTGCCGGGGTGAGATGCCGCGAGCTGGAGATCAGGGGACCTGGCTACTAGGCCTTTGCTTTTCTGGCCTCAGTTTCCCCACCTATTTTTTTTTTTTTTAAAGTAACTGAAGGGGAGAGGAAATAGGGATGGGGGCTGGTGTCCGCGCCTGACTCCTGGGGTGTTCTGGCAGAGGAGGGCTCCGTCAAAATGTTCCTGAGGGGCCGCCCTGTGCCCATGCTGATCCCGGATGAGCTGGCGCCCACCTACAGCCTGGACACGCGCTCGGAGCTGCCTTCCTGCAGACTCAAGCTGGACTGGGTGTATCCTTTTGCTTTAATCCCTCCCCCTCCCCCACACCCCATCCCCCCAGTAAGAAGGGGACAAAAGCCCTTCTGGTGTCGGACTTAAGCAGGAGGGAGTGTCCTTGTACCGAAGGAGGGACATCCAGGCCCCTGTGGCAGGAGGGGGCAGGATGACCCCGTAGTCAGGAGAAAGCCAAGGACGACAGCAGTTTAGCTGAAATGACCTTTTATAATTCATTAAAGCAGCAAATGTTTGCTGAGCACTTTCTGTATGTCAGGTGTGTCAGATGCTCTTTTACGTTCAAGCTGCTTCACGCAGCTCCCGTTCTAAAGTGGATAGAAGCCAGTAACTAAATAAACAAGATAATGTCAATTAGTAGTAAATTCTGAGAATACAATAACCTAAGCTCATGTGAGGGGAATAACTAGATTTCTCTGAAGAGGGGGCATTTTTTATTTTTAAATTTTTTTTATTAAAGCCTACAGCACCTGGTCTTCCTAGGGGGTCTCCCATCCGAGTACTAACCAGGACCGACCCTGCTTAACTTCTGAGATCAGGCAAGTTCAGGGTGGCATGGCCATAGACCTGAGGAGGGGGCATTTGAGCTGAGAATTGTACAATTAGGAGCTGGCACAGGAAGAACTAGGTACAAGGCCTCAGGTACAAGGCCTCTGTAGCCAGAGTGCGCTCGGTATGTTTGAGAAACAGAAGTTAGTAATGGTTAAGAACCTTGTCTTTGGAGTCTGGCAGAAACGGGTCGAAACCCCAGCCTAACCTCTGGCTGGCTGTGCGACACCGGACAAGTCACCTTTCCTCTATGCCTCAGTTGTCTCCTCTGAAAAACGGATTTCCTGATCTCAGATTCATAGGCTGTGAAACAATACGTAAAGGGGCCGAGTTCATGATACGTGCCCCATAAAACTGATAAAATAATAATCATCATTGAGCGCTTATTACATGCCAGGCATTATTCTAAGTTCTTTGATGCATAAATATGTTGAATCATAGGATCCTTCTCTTCCGTGGAGTTGAGAATGTGTTTTTACAACCAGCGGCCTCCGAGAGTTCCCTGAGGCCTGCAGGGTGGGTGTTACCGCCACTTCCCAGGTCAGGAAACTGAGGCCAAGAGAGGGGGCCTAGGGAGTCGACACATCTGAGTCGAGACCTCTGACGCTGGGCCCCGAGCTTTTTCCAAAAAGCCCACTGAGGCGGGATCTGCACCCTAGGGACGCAGTCCCCTTCCTCCTCTCTTGGCCTCAATTTCAGCTCTGGAAGAGGCAGGGCTGCCAGAGCCCAGGGTCTCCTCGAGGCAGCTGGAAATATACACGGGAATCGAGGAATTCCAGGCTGTCAACCCCGGGCCGGGCTTGATAAGCATCGGATGAGAGGCAGCTGAGACCGTGAAAGTCAGCGTGGGTCTCATTTCCCACCTCAGAAATGACAGCGGGGTGGGGCAGTTTCCACGGGGTCAGGATACACATATTGACATTCATTCAGACCTTTTCTGAACATTTTCCAGGGCCTAGGGCTCTGACCCAGTAGTCACCATGACAGTGTCTGCCTGCCCTCGTGGGCCCACAGTCCAGTGTGGAGACAGACTCCTTGGCAGTGACAACTCAGAGTGGTCAAGACTGGGATGGGGGCGCGGGTAGCTGCCCAAGCCTGGGGGTCAGGATGGGCTTCTCACAGTAGTTTCAGAAGTGAACAAAACAGCCCAGTCTCAGCTACCGTGGAACTCAGTCCCATGGGGGAGTAAGAACAGTTAATAAACAGATTAACCAGGTAATTACAAAGTGGTTTAAGTGTAGGGGAGGAAAGCGCCTGAGGCTGGGAAGGGTGGTGGGTAGAATGTACTAGGCAACGCGAAAATTAGTGCCAGGGCCTGGGCTGGCGGTGATGGTCTTGGCATTCTAGCAACTCCCAAATCAGAGTAAGAGTAGGCAGGAGCCCTGGCTCTCTCCTAGGAGTACTGGGAAGCCACAGAAAGTTCTAAACAGGACAGTCAGCCATTCCTTCAGCAGATATTGAATTCATACGTCAGCTGTGCATCAGGCGCCGCCCTGGGCACAAGGGACACGGGAGTGAACGACACGGACAAAGATTTCTGCTCTCTTGGAGCAGAAACTAGTTGAGACAGATAAGTTCAACATATAGCACATGGGATGCCGACAAGTGCGCTGTGGAAATTTGAAGTGGGGGAGGGATGAGGGCAGCGAGCGGGCATGAGTTTGCAGTTTCAAGTAGCACGGGCAGGAAGGCCTCTCTGAGGAGCCGATGGTTGAGCAGAGACCCGAAGCAGAGCAGAGGGGGAGATGATGGGGAGGAGTACGCAGGTGGCGGGAGCGGCGAGTGCAAAGGCCCTGAGGTGGAACAGGGAGGAGGCTCCTGTGACCGCAGCTGAGTAGGTATGAGCAGAATAAAGAACCAGGGCCCGGGTCAGGCCAGGCCTCACGCCTGGGCTTTCGTAAGGACTTTGACTTCCTCTCTGAGTGCGGTGGGACCCATGGGAAGGTTCTGAGCAGAGGAAGGATGTGGCTGGCTCAGTGTTAATGGGTTTTAACAGCATCCCTTTCAGGGGAAGAGGATAGGCTATATCCGTGGTCCCCAACCTTTTTGGCACCAGGGGCCGGTGCTCCTGCGAGAATCTAATGCCTGAGGAGCTGAGGCGGAGCTGAGGCGGTGATGCTGGTGCTGGGGAGAGGCTGCGAAAGCTCACCTCCTGCTGTGCGGACCGGGCTGAGGCGGTGATGCTGGTGCTGGGGAGAGGCTGGGAAAGGGATAAAGCTTTGCTTGCTCACCTCCTGCTCTGCGGACCAGTACTAGTCCGTGGTTTGGGGGATAGGGACCCCTGGACTAGAGCTTATATTAATTTCTTGTGTCTGCTGTAACAAATTAAGCCACAAACTTGGTGGCTTAAAACAACAAAAATCTCTCGCAGTTCTGGAGGCCAGGACTCTCAAATCACGGTGTCGGGGTCGGGGGGGCACGCTCCCCCCTGAGCCCGTGGAAGAGGACTGGTTCGTCTGTCTCCTAGCTTCTGGTGGCCACGGACAACCCCAAGGGTTCCTTGGCTTGTAGCTGCATCACCCCAATCCGATGGTCTTCATGTGGCCTTTTCCACCCCTGAGTGTGTGTCTTCTCTCTGTGGGTTATAAGGACACTTGTCATTGGATCCAGGGCCCACCCAGATAACCCAGGTGATCTCATCTCGAGATTCTTAATTACATCCGCAAAGAGTCGTTTTCCAGGTCAGGTCTAATTCACAGATTCGGCGGGGGATTCATACTTTGGTGGACCTAATTTCGGGGGTGCCATCATTCAAGGCTCCGTGGGGGTTAAGAGTGGGAGCGAGAAAACCTAGCTCCGGGTACCTCGTTGAGTCCAGCACTCAGTTGGCACGTGCGACACCACACAGGCTCCTTAACCGGCCCCCGGGGGGCTTCCAGCTATGGCTACCGTGGCAGAGACTGTCGTGCCAACCTCTACCTGCTGCCCACAGGGGAGATAGTATACTTCGTGGCCTCAGTGGCCGTGCTGTACAGCGTGGAGGAGCAGAGGCAGCGACATTACCTGGGACACAACGATGACATCAAATGGTGAGGCCCCGGGAGAGAGCTCCCTCCGGCCTAGGGCACTCACTATTTGGGTGGCAGGGCAGGGCGGGACCTTTGCTGGCCTGAGGGCTGAACTCGAGGCAAAAAATGTAGATTGATTATATTTCAGATATCGGTGAATTCATTCAAATGCCTGGAGTTTTCACTTTTGAAAGCTCCGAGCTGGCACCCCAGACTATCCTGCAGTGTAGTGTGTTGGACCCGTTTTGGTGGCGGCCCCTTTAAATGGGTGCCCTCTCCTGGCCATTTGTGGTACAGGCCTGAGCCCTGCAGGCATTTGAGTTACAGACTCCGGGCCTGAGTCTTGTTTCTGAGCTGCAGTACCCAGGGGCTACTTCGTTATGGCTACTGAAAGACTAAAGAGATGTTTATTGACTAAATAACTCAGCCAGCCAACCTGTGAAATGAATAACTGCAGGAGGGGTCCTGGGTCCATTCCCTCCCACTGAGCCTTGTCCATCTGTCCTCTCTCTCTTCAGCCTGGCTGTCCATCCTGATATGGTCACCATCGCCACTGGACAGGTGGCAGGCACCACGAAGGAGGGGAAGGTAACGGAGTGGAGGAAGCAGGACTGGCAGACTGGGGTGGCGTCTTGGGTCAGGGTGGGGGAGTAGAGAGAGAGGGTGGGCAGGCATCTGAGATCCCAGGGAACAGGCCGATTTCTTTCCTGCAGCCACTGCCACCCCATGTACGCATCTGGGACTCAGTCTCTCTCTCTACCTTACACGTGCTGGGCCTGGGGGTGTTTGACAGAGCCGTGTGCTGCGTGGGCTTTTCCAAATCGGTAAGTCCTGCACCGACCCTCACCTGCCCACGTGCCCCTCATCTCCAAAATCAAGAGCCCGTGCTGCCCCTTCCCACCCATCCCTTTGGGATGTCACAGGTGTAGGTCACACCCCCTCCCCCAGCGGAATTCCGGGTCCTCCAGGCTGGGCATCCATCTCTGTGGTGTCACAGGCCTGCACTGTTAGCCTTTGTGATGGACACCCATATATTCTGATCGCCCCAAACCCCTCGGTGATCCCTTGTAGATCAGTTAACACTCGTTGCATTATTTTTCACTCCACCTTTCATTCTCCAAAGGTCCTTATCCCTTAGGCATTTTCAGCCCTGTATCTAGGTTGGTGAGGAGGCTCTTGGCACCATTGCCAAGATGGATTTTGGCAAGTCTGGTGTTGGCGGGTCTGGATGAGATAAGTACAGACATGGAGAGTAAGCCTTTAGGAATTTACAGAGCCATTTGACATTCCCTTAACATCCAAGTATGTGATTGGTGGGCTTTGTTGTTTTTTTAAATTACTTTACATTTTTATCATATTTCACCAAAGTGTTGGTCTACAATGGATTGGGGAATAAAAATCAGCCCATCCTCCCACATATAGTTTAGGAAACAACCCTGGATTAGAGTCTCACAGGTTTTCTGAGGCCAAAGGAGACATCTGAGAGCTTTGGGAGGAAAAAGGCTATTTTGTTGCCAAAGTGTGTGTGTGTGTGTGTGTGTGTTTGTGTGTGTGTGTGTTAGAGAGAGAGAGAGAGAGACAGAGCCTGCCAAATCAAAATTAATCTGTGTTTAACTAAAGGTATGAAAAAACATTTTACCTAGATGGGGTAAAAGGGGTCAGATATGTGGTGACATTAAAGAATTTTTTAAAAATTAAACTAAAAAAATTGTTTTACCAACTTTATTGTTTAATTTCATCTACACCAAAGTCATTCCATAGGAGATTGCAGGTTACATGGTCTCGGTAAGAATTCCTGACCACGTGCTGGCTGCAGAGAGAGTAGCTGAGGGTGAATTAGATCAATTTCCTAGGGACGAGTCATTTCCAAAGGAAAATTGTGAAAACCTTTTAAATGTGTGTATGGCTGCTGGATGGGGCGTGTGTTTTAATGTGCTTCACGTGACATGGGCCAGAGCCTTTGAAAATCTTCAAACGGACCTGAGTGGAAAATGTCCCAGTGGGTGAAGTGTTGAGGGGGGCGGAGTCAGGGTCCTGACTCACCTTGCCCCTCCCCCTCCTCCCTTCTCCTCCCAGAATGGGGGCAATCTGCTCTGTGCCGTGGACGAATCCAACGATCACATGCTCTCCGTGTGGGACTGGGCCAAGGAGGCCAAGGTGGTGGACAGCAAGGTGCGGCTCTTTTCTCATCCCCTCCCCTGCAGGACTGGCCGATCTCAGTGGGTGGGAGCCCGGTATCACACAGACTCACCTTGAATCCCTGGCTTTGCCATTTATTTGCTGGCTGTGTGACTTTGGGCAAGTGGCTTGCCCTCTCTGAGTTCCGGGCGCACCACCTGTAAAATTGGGATAACAGTAGCATCTTCCTTGCAGGGCCTTGGCCTTGATGTTGGGATATGGATGGGTGGCCGAGGCTGAGCAGAAGGGTTGGTATAAGGTAGATGCTGATTCTACAGTCCTGCGATGTCCTACGCAGACTTTGACTTGCATCCCTGGGTAGTGGCCTGTTTTACAGATGAGGAGCCTGAGGCCCGGTAGAGGGGAGAGTTACTTGCCCAAAGAAGACACATACCTGTTCTGGGCTGGGGACAGGAGACCTGGGTTCTGGATCGGGGCCCACAGTTTGGGGAAGGAGAAGCAGTTGAGAGGCTGGGCTCTGGAATCAGAGCTTCATGAGTTAATTCTGGACATGATGCTTATCTGGCTGTGTGGCCTTTGGCAAGCGACTTCCCCTCTCTGAGAGAGTAAAGCTTAATCTGTAAGAGGGGGCACTGATGAGCCTTACCTCACAGGGCGCTGTGGGGTTCAGTGAGGTACTGGATGTAAAGTGCTCAGCACAGTGCTTGACGCAGAGGAGGGCTGTCCGGGTGTCTCCCCGTTATGCTGCTGAAGAGGCAACGATGCTTCGCCTGCCTCCTGCACTTACCTTTGCCTGGATGGGGAAGATCCGGGCAAGTCTGGAGTGCAGCGCGCAACCCACAAAGCTGTATAGGGCAGTCCTGTGCGGGGTGGGTGTGGCGGCCCTCATGGCTTTGAGGCCCTCATTCAGATCTCCCCACTCCCCAAAGTGCTCCAACGAGGCCGTGCTGGTGGCCACCTTCCACCCCACAGACCCCACGGTGCTCATCACCTGCGGGAAATCCCACATCTACTTTTGGAGCCTGGAGGGGGCCAGCCTAAGCAAGCGGCAGGGCCTCTTTGAGGTGAGTGCCAGGGGTTGGAGGATGGGCCGGGCTTGCAAGAGGCGGGCAGGGTCACCCAGGCAAACAACAGGATGCTCCAGAAGGTCTCAGAGGCTGGAGATCACAGGGACACTACAGTGTTGCCTGCTGGGGCCTCAGTGTCCTTATTCATACCGTGGGGATGATCTTTCTTAACTCCGAAGTCATGAGGACTCAATGGATGACGTGTCTAGCAGCTCCTGGCGGATAGTGAATGCTCAATAGACAACATTGCGGTTGTCGATATCACAGATAAGCAGAGAGAAACAGGCACTGAGAGAGAAGCTGAGTGGGAAGCAGAGGGCCTGGGAGAGAAGATGCAGGGGCACCTCTGACGTGGCTCCCCGAGGTGCCATGTCAACTCTTTGGTGAGAGTTGGGGCTTCATCCCAAAAAGGGAGGCCCAGAGAATACCAGGCACAGCTGGAGATGAAATATACCGAGGAGAGGGTGGGGCCGGAAGAGGGACCCGGACACAGAAGATGGGGAGAGAGGGGAGAGAAGTGAGGGACAGGGGCAGAGAGGGCGAATCCAAGAGGAAGAGAGCAGGGGGAACCAAGGACAGAGAGGGGACGGGAATCAGGGAGGGGAGAGAGACAGGAAGTGTGCAGGGGTGGGGAAGGGAGACGTTACCGCCCAAAAGTCTAGGTGACGTGAGCACCCCGTAGAGACGGGGGTGGAGTCTCGCAGAGCCTCACCCGAAAGCATGGAGGGGTGGAGGGGGTCCCCTCGCTGTAGGACGCCCCCGGCTTCGGCGACCTTCTGACACTTGCCCTTCTCCACCTTAGAAACACGAGAAAGCCAAGTACGTGCTGTGTGTGACCTTTTTGGAGGGTGGCGATGTGGTCACCGGGGACTCTGGGGGAAACCTCTATGTCTGGGGCAAAGGTCAGTGCCACCCCCCCTGTTCGGTCCCCAATCCAGTCTTCCCTAGCCCCTTTTGGCTGTGCCTCCCTTTCTCTGCCCCCTGCGTGGATGGTAGGTATGGTCCAACAGGCTAAATCCTTATTTGTTCAACTCCAACACCCCCATCAAGGCTCAGCTCCAATATCCCACCTCCGCAAAATCTTTACTTATTTTCCACCTTCGTCCTCTGCATATCGTATGTTGGGGGTCAAGTTTGAAGTGTAGATGGATGGGTTAACCCAGTTGGAGGTAGATGGGAGAATGATGGGTGGGTGAGTGGGTGGTGGGTGGATGGATGGTAGATGGGTGGATGGATGGATGGATGATGGATGGGTGGGTGGATGGATGGGCGGATGGATGGATGGATGGATGGATGATGGATGGGTGGATGGATGGATGATGGATGGGTGGGTGGGTGGATGGATGGATGATGGATGATGGATGGATGATGGATGGATGGATGGATGGATGATGGATGGATGGATGGTTGATGGCTGGGTGGGTGGGTGGATGGATGGATGATGGATGATGGATGGGTGGATAGGTGGTTTGTCTAGAGCAATGAATGAATAAGAGAGTGAATGAATTAAGGGCTTGTCTTAGCCAGTGAATGAAAGAATGAGTAAATGAATGTGCTGTCCTACTTAATGGTGATTAGATGAACGAATGAACAACTGGAAAATGAATGGTTGTTCCATAATGGATGACTATGTCAGTGAACGAAGAGGTCTTTTGCCAGACAGTGGATCTATAAAGTGATGAGTGACTGAGTGAGTGAGTGAGTGAATGAATGAACGAATGAATGAGTGGATAAATGTGTTATGAAGAAAGGATTGTTCCAGGAGCGGATTGATTACCAAATAAATAAATGAATTGATTGTTCTAGCCAATGGATGGATGAACAAATGAAAAATGATCATCCCAACCAATGGTTTAATGGGTTGTCCCAGCCTTTGGGTGGATTGTGAGTCAAGGAATGAATAGGCTGTCCCGTAGTGGATGGCATAAACAAATGAGCGAGTGTTCGGCCAGGTACGTTCGCTTTCCCACACATTATGCTCCTTATGCGAGGTCGCGCTGCGTATATTCCAATTTCACAGATGAAAAACGATAGACTCTGAGAAGGGCAATGACCCGGCAGATGGCCGAGCTGGACAGAGGCAGGGCACACTGCCAGTTACTCAGAGCTTAGGGCACTTGGTCTCGAAGGCCCCTGCCCTTTTTAGGCCATCTGCCCCACCGCACTCGGGTATGTGGGAGACAGGCCTTGAACCAGGTGTCACTCTGTGACCTCGGGTAAAGCTGCCTCAGATTTCTGCCTGTAGACTCGGGGAAGCAGGGATTATCTCTAAGTGCCAGTTCTCCTGACCTGGGGGAGCTTGGGCCCCAGCGGGGCTACCCCAGGCAGGGGGAGTGGGAAAGGAATGGGTTTGGGGATTAGACAAGCTTGGGTTCAGGTCTCAGCGGTGCCATGTGCTCTGTGGAGCCGCCGGGAGAGTCACATCCCTTCTGAGACTCAGCTGTCCCATCGGGAACGTGGCTATAATATCACTGCCTCCCCTCCCAGGGTCGTGAGGAGCTTTCCTTGGGATTGGACAGCTGAGAGTCAGCTCTGAGTAACTGGCATTGTGTCCTTCCCAGCAGACCGTAAGCTCTCCGAGGGCAGAGCCTGGCCGTGGTTCGTTTCCATGTCCCCAGCTTTACCACTAGGTCCAGCCCGTGGGGCTTTGGGGTGTTTGTTGGGTTGGTGGGTGGAAGGGTAGGTGGGAAAAATGATGCACGTGCATGTGGCACCGTATCTGGGTCTTACAGGATGGGAATCGAAGAGGGTGGTTCCTTCTTCCTCTCCCCTGTGTCCCCCGCTCCTCCCTGGTCTCACACCCTCCATTCCTGCCCCCTCTGGGTCTCAGAACCAAAATCTGCCC